TGCTCGTTGGACAGCTCGCGAGGTTCGAATTTACCGAATCCGAAAGCAATCATCTTCCTTACAGCAAGATAAAAATATCAACCCACAAAGAAGGCGAGCTTTTTCTGGAACTAAAATTGATACCAGTATTTTTCAACTCGCGAACAATACTCCCTATTAACTCCAGGTTTTTCCCATTCAACCTAAGATTTGTATTCCCCCCGCTTCCGGAAAGCAGAGATAAGCAAGAAGACAAGCGGGTGGGAACAACAGAATGGAAGGAAGTTTTTTTGAGTGTTACTGGAAGGGTCGGAGTCGTCAAGACATCCATTTCACAGACATCTGGAAATCTTTTCCCTGATTTGGGTGGGAAATGCTACTGGCTATGGCTGAAGGGTGCAGAGATTCGAATTGAGGGGTTCCCCTATCACACTGCTACTCCTAGTGCTCCACATAGGCAGAAGCATTAGAATATTGAACTTGACGGTTAATGCAAAATCATTTAATGCCAAACTAAGCAGCTTTAATCCAAGCCTTGCAATATATCTAGAGTATTTCTAAGAATGTATATAATACACGTACAGAGTGTCCAGAAAGCTTACAATGCCAAGAAAGCCCGCTTCGCAATATATTGGATCTACATGATCTACTTAACATAACATGTATAAGTGTGATTAAGCAATGAAGATTTAATACAGAGAGTTCAGAAATTGGCAACAGAGTGAGTGGGTGGCGACAATAATGAGCTATAAATATAGGCAAGATGGTACAGTATCAGATCCAAAGTGTAAGTTAATAAATCTCGTAAGGTGAACTACGAGCACAGACAGGCTCTCATAGAACTAAGGCGTACCTAGGTACCACGGCTTCAAAATTTAGAAATATGTGGGCTCAGCAATGTGAACGGGGCCTGTAATTCTGTCAGATCGGCAGAAGTCAGAATTTCTATCTCAAGACAGGTTCTGTCTAGTTTTGTAGTATATTGAAGACGACAACAGCGGTGACGAAACACCGTAAGAATTCTTGAAGCACGGCATATATTTGGAATTACTATGTATGTGTCACTTGTTCATATATATCATTTGACATTATATGATGTCAGATTAGGAGAGCCCAAGAAGATCGCAGAGCTTGACGACCGTTATCGTTGACGTAACTTGCCATTACTGTAATTTACCATTTGCTTAAGGCCATGCATATATGAAAATAAGTTTAATATCTTGTAAAACAACTCACTAGCTACACAATATCTAGTCTTACTCAAGGGAAAATTGTGTTCATGGAGCATCCCACCGCGCTTCGCATGTCAAGACTTATGAGGCGAGTACGTATCTCTCTTACGGAAGCTCAGCACCTAGCCGTAAGTAGTAAGCAACTTCCGTTGTAACTATATCTTCGTCCACACTTCCATTTCGTATCATACCGCTAAGATAGCCATAAGTATATCGAGATGCGAGCCGGCAGTCCTCATATATGGCCAGCGCAGGCTCAATGAGATTCCCGCATTTGGTATATATGCGATTTGTGTTCTATTGGCCTATTAATACTCACCTTCAACTTCAGAAAGAGTGTTTTATCATACATAGTTACAAAAGAATATCGAAGAGCTGTTAAGGTAAGATACACGGGCACAATTGCCGGCTTCAGCACCACAATAAGTATCTTTAGCGTCTCGCAGATGATTGATATTCACGTCAGTGGGCTCAATGTAGGCGAGGCCGCGTGTGAAATCGCAGATGGGCTTTCCTACCTATTTTTAAAGAGATGTAAGCCATTGGGTACCTTCAACGAGTTCTCTTGTAGGAGCTCACACCACGCTTTCCCGGTAGACCTCTCTCCTCAAGGGCAGGAGCAGGAAAGTTCGGCGAATTCAAAATCTGTGCACGGAAAGTAAGCTAAAACTCAAGATTCTCCATATGGTTTCGCCCATACTGTGCTAGTTCTCCTGACTCCTGGGTAAGCTGCAGCACCGTAGATCTACTGCAGTCAGTAAGGAACAAACCAGAAGGACTTGACAACAAACCACTGTCGCTAAAAACAGGAATAACGTCAGAATGCACCTGCTTTTGAACATTGTATCTGCGTACTTTAGACAAATCTAATTAGTGACTATGTACGGCACAGGACAGCAGGAACCAACCGGTTTATATCTTTGTGGCAAGATCAGTACAATCTACAACAGCTATGCATCCCATCATTGCCTGATCGATATTATATACCACAGCCATAACCATTGCTCAAGCCTTGCTTAGTTGAGTCCAAATATAACATTGGCCCGTAGAACCTTAGGCTTTATTCATGGTTCACTTCCTGCAAAAGGTTTTGACAATATAAAATGATCCATATACATTCTTGATATCTCCAAAATTATTTCCCATGGGCAGTACCTTTTTGTTGCGCTCTGTTCGTCATTAGAAACTATCATTGTGTGGTCAGAAACATAATAAGTCATATGTTAATGTAGGTTAAACACCCTGCATAAACTTTGCTCAAACAATTGTAAGGGATACTGTACCTAGAACCCTGCTTCAGTTCTTTCAGCTCGACCGGATAATCAATGTCCTCTAGATATTGACGATGCTTTTTACTGGGTTTAAACAGGCTTGTAAGAGCCTTTTAGAAATGGATTCTAAGAAGAAACTTTGGTTCGCTAAGTACTCGGCAATGAACTAAAACTTGTAGATGACTTAGTAAAGTACTAATGAAATGAAAGTATAAGTATGTAACCAAAGTAACGTCAGAGTGGTAATAGACACATTATTCCAGTGAAAACTATATCTAAAAACTATTATCCCAATGATTTATTACTATATTATCGCGCTTGCAGCTGCCATATCAGCAAGAGCACAACAGCAATCTGGGGGAGGCGTTGGAGGAGCTTGCACCTTTCTCACAAGTTTCACTAATACTAATGTAATTTTGCGGTCAGTACATGGCGGGCAAGAACGTTCCATCTCGGTGAGAGAAGGATGTGAAGTTCAGCTTGCCGCTGTTTTTCGTGATTGTGCGTTTCCTCAGTGGTTTTTCTTCACGTTTACTGATTTATAATAGGTCAGCAAGACTCAAGCTTTGTGTGTGAAGAAATCTCGCTGTTGATTTCAGGTGTATCTTCACAATCTAGCAACGCTGTGACAGCCACAGAGAAATCAGAGCGAAGTACATCTAGCTCACCGGCAAACCAGATTGTGACCACACTTACTCAACCACCTCGAACGACCCAAACATACTCAGTGATACCTATCGAAAGCGAAGCTAACTCCCGCCAGGGACGACCAAACAGCTCAAGTGAAGGTCCTCAATCTAACACGCAGCCCCCGGAGTCCATCGTAACGGCATCAGCCAAACACCCTACGTCTGCAGATGGTCTGTCCCATATTGAGACAATGAGTACTACGTTGGGAGCAGAATTATCCTCTCCATCTGTATCTGCGTGTGCAGTGAAGTTAGTGACAGTCTTGCAATATGGATTATCCGAATTATCTAACCGCAATTCACAATAGGATCGGCGAATTATTTGTCGGTAACTGCTATTGCATGAATGGAAGTACCATCAAATACCTG